ATCAAGAAAACTATTCCAGGCAACCGGGGATCGTGATCTGTGGAGACGCATGAGTGCCTATGCCAGTTGGCAGGGTACATGATGATAGTCATGATAATATACCGCTGAATGAGATTCTGGGATTTGCTCCTATCTGGTTCTCACCTGAATAGTGGCTCTCTGAGTCAACTGATGTCAGCATTGCAGGTTGCAGTCCAGCAGGGGTGTTGGTGGTGGGATATTTTATTTTTAAAAGCAAACAAAATGTACAAAAAAAAATACAGTTGTTATAAATTTTACATATATATATATAATTTAAAAACTTGCATTAACATTTTGTCCTGTTACAAATGTAACAATTCCTTTATACTTGTAAAGTTAAAATAATTTTGTAAATCATAGTTAACAATTAACCCTAATATTTTAAGATAAATTAAACTTCAGGCAGAAAAATCTGGCAAAATTTCCTTGAAATATTAATATGAGTACATAGCTGTGCAATTAAATAATGCCATATATTTTCAAAACATGAGATTCAATAAATATTTAGTGAAAACAATGAGATACAACAAAGACTGACTGAAAAAAAAGAAACTTAAATAATACTGTATAATAAGAATAATATCATAAAACTCCTAAAGACTTTTCTCAACGCGGTCGAGTCTTGTTAGTCATACTGACAATCGCCATGGACTGTGAGTCCCATGCCTCCTTACACCACAATATAACACTACTGTCTGGAAAGGCAGAAAGGTGCCAATCATATTAATCCATATCCATTTTCCCAGTCTTTTTCATATACCTTACATCAGAATTTTGACTAGCTAAAACAATGTTGTTTTTTAACTATTTACAACACAAATGTGTGTAAATACTTGTAAAGACACACAAAGAGGTTATACATGTTATAGGAACATATATCACTTAAATAGCACTGACAAAGCTATAAATCAGATCTACACTGACAAAGCTATAAATTATATCTACTTATTTAAAATATGACAACCAGACATGGTAATAATAAATAGTGTCCTTTTACTTCTGATATGAAAAATTTGGTTGCATGCCCTCAGGAGGACATTCCAAACCAACTTCAGCATTTGTTGCCTGATTGTTGTCTGACTAGGAAATGTTACGATCACCAGTTTGCCATTGTTTTCTGAACATGTGATGCTTCATACAACTGTTGAAATCAACATAAAGCAGCCAGCTGCCAAATCATCTGCAGGTGAATTGAACTGAGTTTTTGGGAATTGTGAACCACGTTCATAACCCATAAGCTGAAGATGCCTACTTTGGATTAAAAAAAGGAACGAATATTATATTACAACTCCTTGTGCCTTGGGCTGCAGGGTACACCAACGTGGTACTTGTTAGCTGTTACGTATGACCTTATTATAACTTCTCAGGAGGTCGAACAGGGTATCTCATATTTGCCCTGCTGAGTTACCATCAAGGATTCAACTCTTTGAGTCACTGTGATCAAACATTCTGGTAGAAGCCAGATTTTTTTTTCAAATGGGGGGGGGGGGGGGGGGGGGGGGGGGGAAGATGGAAAATATTTCCGTGGATGTAACAGAAATATACATAAGTGAATATAATAATCATTACACTTGTTAGAAAGGTGCAGTTCATATTTGCTCAGCTGAAATTGAGAACTGTGACAAAATACACATTGAAATGATCACATAGAACTAGAAAGGTAGCTATTTAAATCACTGTGCACAGCCTAAGTGATGTTCATCAACAAATGATTGAAATAAAAGACAAAGTTTTTGTTTTTTTCTTTAAAAGCGAAACAATGAAAAACATAACAGCAGAATTAAACCACAATAAAACCAGAGCTGCTAAAATTTGGAACCAATTAAAAATCAACAGAAGCTAATAAAGAAGTTAGATACAATATTTTAAGACAGCATAGGAGGAGAGACAGTAGTAACAGCACAAAAAGGGAACCTGAGAGACTTTTATAGCACTATATGGCCAACAGCAAGAACATTGAGCTGATTAGCAATATTAATGGAAAAGTTCTCACCTTGACTAAAGATCAAATGAACAGTTTCACTCAAAGATACCTGGTCTTGAGAAGTGAAGATGCGTATTAACTGTGAGAAATCATCTAAACAGCAAACTATAAAAGGCTAGTAAACACATAAAGGATAGGAAAGCTGCTTGTCCAGACGGTATCCTTGTGGAAGCATTTAAAGCCAGTTAAACCTCACTTTATGAGGTCAAATAATAAACATATTTATTAAGCAATGTGTGGACCTAAATGTGTGTACGGATACAGGTATGCTTAACTCCAATGTCACATTAGCACAGCTGTTAAGATAAAAACATGCTGAACCACTACAATAATTACTGCTGCCTGTGTAGAAGAGAAGGACAAAAATTACTGTGGAGATTACAGAGTGATAAACACACTTAAACAATCCAAGAGGTGAGGAAGGATGCTGGCTCTGAATAGGACACAAACTGAGAAAAAAACTGTTAGAAATATGACTAAGAAGTTCTTCCTAAGGAGTGCATAGAGCAAAAGAAATAGAGTGAGACTTAAAAAAAAACATATGGAGAAGATAATTAAACATGGAAATGAACAATAAGGGAACTACAGGATATGACCAAAAAAAAAAAAAAAGGTCGACACTGCATAAGTTCGTTGAGGTCTCCTCTCAATGGAAGATAGAAGGCAGAAAAGGAAGAATAAATCTACTGCACATTTAAGAAACAATACACTTAAGATACAATAGTAGAAACCATGCCAACCTCTTGCTGTGTATTTGTGTGTTTTGTTTTGCAAGAGACAAAATCCTATGATTCACTGCATGCTGTTGATGGTCTGGTCTCTACCTGACTACATACACTTGAGTATTACTGTATTTGTAATCTAACTGTAACACACAAGTGAGAATAAATACATCAAGCTGGTCTTCCTATATTAACCCTCTCAACCCAAAAACCACAAAATAAACACTTGAAGTTGGTACCATTTCTTGAGAGAGCCCTTTCCCGACTCACCACAGAAACATGTTTCCAAGATGTCCAGCTAACAGAATTAATTGCATCTCTCTCAGCAAGTCAAAGCATGACTAAAGTTACTAAAAATAGCCTCGAAGGGTGTTGGTCTTTTTAAAAAATTGGTTTTGTTTTTATCCCATTACCTACAGTGGTTCTCAGGATGCCGGATCAAGTAAGTAAAACTATAATTAGTTTTCAAATTATAGTTAGTTTACAGATCCAAAAAGATGTAAGCCAGTTGATTCTATGCTGCACCTGATTTTATTGATTACTTCCCCTACACTGTATACTATTTGTTTGAATTTTAATGATACACTGATTTTTTGCAATTGTTTTTGGTGAAATGTGTGAAATTGTTTTTATAAGGATTTTTCCTCAGGAATTTTTGAAAAATGGAAAGTACAGAGCTTGGCTTTTTTTTTCTTCTTTTCATAGGTGACTGGGGTGAAAGGGTTCAACAAATTGTAAAGCACTGTTTGGCACTCACAGATGCAGAAGAAATGGAGACTTCTGCATCTACAAAAAGGATTCATTACTTTTTTTTTTTTTATCATACTATTCCAATGGTCTCAATGATTCCACAGCTATTTATTTGTGGTCTTTCTGAGACACATCGGACAGTTCTTTTGTATGCCACTGATCAATGAAAGATATTACTACTGTGTGAGATGATGAGCTTTCACTTGGTACAGGGCCAATCCAACCCGCCGCAGGCAGCTGATACAATAATGTATGTGATAATCTGAAAATTAAAGAAGTTATATATAGAATAACTCAATCGAAGGAAGAAATTTACAAATTGAAAAATATTATATGTAATCTAACTTTTTCCACTAAAATGAGAAAGATAATTCTCAAGAGCTGTATAAATCCTATAACCAATATATGGAAGTGAATCATGGACAGCTGGGCAATGAATGACAAATTATTTAGAAGCAATGGAGATGTGTTTTATAGATGAATGATGAGAATGCCCCACACAGATAACAATAGTAATGAATGTCTTGAAAGAAACTGACTCATTTTGTTTAATTTTTTTTATTTAACATTTTTATAAAAAATATATTCAGAAACCATGAGTTGATAACACTTTAGCTCGGTAACAAATGAGGCAGAGATGAAATCCAATTATGCTGGCCAGCTACTGAGTTAAGTTTATGGTGCGACACTGTGAGCTGTGGAGTCCATTGGTGAGTGGCTGCTTGCCACATAATTTGAAGTCTGCTTTAGCAGCAATGCATGTGCCCCTGCTAGTCTGTGCTGACTGATGCTTCCATCCCTTATGAACTGCAATTCTAGTGACAACTTTTGGTGTTGGCACCTCTAGGAACTGTTTTATGCATCTAATGCATGTGCGGTGCTGGAGTCTGCTGGGACTGCCGTGTCTAACTTTTCACAATGGACACAGAAACAAAGCAATTATGAGTTATCAATTTACAATGAAGTTGGAAACCTGATTCTTCTTCTTCTTTACATTCACTGGCTTTAAACCCCAGCTGAAAGCTCTGGTTGCTCATCTACTTCTTCTTCTTTTTCTTCTTCACTTCCTCTTTTACCGCTGTGGGTGTCGAGGGAGATATAAGGTTCTGTTTCTAGCTCTTCTGGCTGCCTCGACCATAGGCACATCGTGCTGTTGTAGAGTTTCTCTGATGTTATCCTTCCATCTTGTTCTTGGTCTACCCCGTGCTCTACGTCCTTCTTCTCTTTCCATGTATGCTTTGTATGGTATGGTGTCACAAGGCATTCATCTACTTCTCCTTTGGTCTTTTAAAAAAAAAAATTCGCATGCACATCAGTTTTACATATTCCATTGGTATGCAGACTGTTGGTTCCTCAGCTCTCAGATGCACTCCAAAATCAAAGTAGGAAGCCGTCACTGATAGCCTGACAGTATGAACAGCCCAACAGTTTTGAATTCAAAGCACTATTTCCTGACACCCCCTCCCCCCAAACCAATTCTTCCCCAGACAAATGTAGGTCAAAGTTTAGTAATTTTGTGTGTTCTAAAAGAAATAAACAGAACTTACTACGAGAACAACAACAATAAGAACAAGAAGCTTGACATTTTTCCACCACATGGATCTAGCCAGGTTCCGACTTGTTCTTTTGAAAGAGACTGACTGAAATATTTAAAAAAAATTGTTGAAAAATACAAAACAATTTTCTATTAAAACATAACAGGTGAAATCTGAAGGGAAAAAATAACCAAAAAAAAAAAATAACCCAAAAGTACTGTGATTTAAACTCATCAAGAGAAGCGGCTGGCCAAGAGGTTACAACACTGCGCTCTCATGTGGGAGACCAGGGTTCAACCCACGGTAAGGTGATGGAGTTTTTCTGTTAAGGGCAAAATTTAACATTCTTACTGGCACTGTCCATGGAAACTGCACTAGCTATGCAGTCCTAAATCCTCAGATTCATGACCCACCTGTCTTCTTCTTAAAGTTCATGCTGTGTGGCGTTGGTAGTCATGTCTATCCACAGCCTTCTGTCTCGTGTACTTTCAATCAACTCTGACACAGATGATTTTCCATAGTCCATGCCATGTGTTGTTGGTAGTCATGTCTATCCACAGCCTTCTGTTTTGTGTACTTTCAATCAACTCTGACACAGATGATCCTCCATGTCATGATGTCAAACCGTCCAGCATCTTTTCTCTTGGTCACCCTCTGCCTCTTCTCCCTTCCAACTTTTCTACTGTCACAATGTACTCCGGTTTTCTCCTTCTCATCATAGGATCAAAGAATGTAGATTGTTCGTGTGGCAGTTTCTTTCAAGACATATTCATTAACTCTTTGAGTCCCAAGAAACGCATCATACGTTCATAGGTTCCTACCTAGAAGCCCAATGAACGCATGATGCGCCAATTTTATTACTTTCTTTACTACCCCCTGGGCCTGTGATGCTAAACCCCTGGGACTCAAAGAGTTAATCTTTTTATCTGTCCAGGGTATTCTCATCATTCGTCTGTAAAACCACATTTATGCAGCTTTCAAATAATTTTCTGCCACAGAAAATGAAATTCATAATCTGTTTAAATTACACTGGCATCATGAGTGCTTACAGACTGAAATGGCTGGGGCATACAGATAAACTGTTATCTATATTTGTTTTTGTTTCTTCATGCCTTTTTTAGCTGTTAGATGGACCGCAAAACAATTTCTACTGTTCTGGTGGGCCAGGGTTGTAAAATGTTGAGGAACACTGATTTAAAGTAAGAAAACTCTAGGTCTCAATGGGTTCCAAGTAATATGATAGGACAAAGTCAGCTGAGTAGGCCTTTGGGAAAAAAATGTAATATGTAATACACCAGCTGGATGAGGAATCAGGAGATAAGTAAGCAAAGAGTAACCAGCAGACTCACAATGAGTTGCTCAAGACTGAAAGAGTTAATGAAATCATTGCTCTCTTCTTCCTTCAAAGTCCTGAGTTGGCAACTTCCCTGTGTGGGTTCTGGGGCCCTATTTTGGGGAGGAAAGAGTAGACCTACTCCCCCATTTCCTCAACAAACATGTCATAAAAGGTGATTAATTAAGGATGTTTCCTTCAAAGTCAGAAAGCACCTGCCTGAGGCGGGGAACTAACAGTCTGCTTACAAATAAGCCACATATGTCAAATGGATGTGCTCGCAAAGCTCAAGTTCTAGAAGAGGACCAAAGTCCAGAAGTGGATGAACAATTAGAACTTTCTGCCAGAGTTTACTTCTGATAAATTCTAAGAACTAGCAACCAATTTTAAGGCACACACAATCTTTCTGAAGCTCTCTATATTCTCTGTATGAAACTAAAGTGACACTATTGTCTGCATTCTTGCCTGCCTGGTGGGCAAGTGTTTAAATAGCCATGTAGGTGTTGATTTTGAAAAGGGGGGGGGGGGGGACCTTCTATTCTATGACCGATCTTTGCAAACTGGGTAGCAGAAAATGTTATGGGAAGTAAAGGTGGCAGGCCTAATTACAGCATATTTTTGATAAAGTTCCAGTTGGTCTATAAATGTCTGGTGCCAGTACTACATACACAATTTGTCCAAAGTTGTGAAAAGCCGTCTTTTTTCTTTTTTAACTTTCTTTTCTTTTCTTTTCTTTTTTTTTTTAATCACACTGTTACCCGCTTGCAGACATGTGTAAAACTTTTGTTTATTTCTCTCGCACTTTTCAGGTAATTTGAGTGATGGTTTTGTTAATTTTTTTGCACGTTTCAGCTACATCGTCTATCCATCTTTCTCTTGGATGTCGTCTCGCCTTCTGACCAGAGTTTTGCTGCATAAAGTCTCATATCAAGTTTGGTGTGACTGCATTCTTACTATATGCCAAACCCCTCATTGTCTATCAATGAAATTCAGGCACAGCCTTGTTCCAACCTTGTTCAAGTGATTCAGGTCCATAAAGTTTTATGGTCCAACAGTGCAGAAGAGGTAAAATGGCAAAGAAATAGCGTTTTTTGTTTCTTATGGTGGTACACAACTGCATGTAGGACTGGCCCCTCATTTTCTCTTCATCAGGGTAACAGACACTTTGAGGTGAGTACTGACAACTTTTTCAGACACCCTGGGGTGAGTATCAGCAGATTTTTTATTTCTAGAAACTATTACCCACCCCTGCGGTGCCCATGGCTTAGGAGTTGTAAGTCCGACTCGTAATTCCAACGTACCGCAATTGAAACCCACAGCCCGCTGCGTGGATTTTTATCATGGTATAGGGCGTCGCAGGTCAACCCAGCCTCAAATTGGTACCTGGATTGATATCCTGGGGAAGTAAAGGTGGCTGATGTAATGCTGACCACATTACCCACCCTAGTGCTGATGGTCTGTAAAAGTTTGCGTGCTCTTTTTTTATACCTGATACGTCTAAAGGCGTGAAAAAGTATCTTTACTTTACAATACCCACCACTAACACACCACCTAAAGAAAACAAAACCCACCACTAAGACACCACCTAAAGAAAACAATACCCACCACTAACACACCATCTAAAGAAAACATTACATAAAATTAACACACCACCTAAAGAAAACAACACCCACCACTAAAACACCATCTGAAGGAAACAAAACCCACCACTAACCCACCACCTAAAGTCTCAAACACCCAAAAGGAACAATACCCACCACTAACACACCACCTAAA